TTACACTTTACAGTACCTCAAGTATTTTCATTAATATATTTTTAACTCTGATTAGGGCTGTATTTCATACCTTGAAAAATGTGCTGGACCTAGTCAGTAGAACTTGTTTATGCGCTATAGCTTATTTTGTCTCACTAATGCATGAACTACGTAGAGATTTCTGGGTCTGTGCAAGACAAACCAGTAAACATCAAAGACAACCACTAGAAGGGCTAAGAAATAACAGTCTAACACTCCCGCTTATACTGGAGAACCACGCAGAAGTTCTCAGAGTGCCCTTGTCCCTGAACATGGCTTTGTCATGAGAAAGCCTTGTGTTGGTGTTTCAGCTAGCTAATCATATACATACATATATGAGCTATAACTTGGATATCTCTGTGCAGTGCTGCATTGTGCCTTGCAGGTACAACCTAAATTGGATTAAACAATTGTTTTGAAAATCTGAGACTCTAAAGTCTTAAACTACATGGTATTAATAGGAATCAAAATGCTAACACTGGAGGGTGAGTTCCAGAAATGGGAGGTTCTCTGAATGCAAAAGAGAATGCTCTGCTAGATATCTTATGTAACACACACACAAAAAAGCTTTAAAGATGAAAAAGGAGATACACTAGTTGAGGTGTGAAGATTTCACAGTCTCCTGGATGGAATGATTTTTTAAGCTAAACACAGTTTTGGAAAATTTTGCAAAGCATTATCACAGTATTAAGAAAGAAGAGATGGAAAGTTATTGATTAAGGGCGCAGCCTTTCAATCATTAAGTCAGAAAATACCGTTCGTCGAGTTAAGGACACATCCACGTTAATAATAACAAAAATTCTTGATGGGATAGAGTTAAAGTGCACTCTTAGTTTGTCTAGTAGTTATATCTTTTAAGTTAACAGTCTTTGGATTCTCATAATAATATTTTATGGAATGTCTGATTAACATAAGAGATTTAAAATATGTAATGTAGATTCAAACAAAAGCCAAAACTGCTATTTTCATCAATAGTTTTAAATTGTAGCACACTTTATTAATCTGAATTCTATGTTGTAAGTATTCATTTTGTGTGATAAATTGAAAGACATCAGTGCCTTGAAAGAATCTGGTGGAACAAAACTAAAGAGAAAAAGCTACAGGAGAGCCTGAATACTTAAGTTACTGATTCTGATATTTAGTTAGCCTATAAAATACTTTCTTGTGATTTATATTATTATTTCTAATTGCACTTCTCTATTCCACTTGGTCTCCTGCATTTCCCGTGTTGCTTTTTACTCCTGTCACAATGCTAAAGTTCTCTGTTACCAGTTCATCTCTTTTCCATACCTCAGGATGGTACATGTGTCCAGAAACAGAGGCCAAAAGCAACAGATTTATCACAGCCTTAATGACAGCTGGCTGCATGCTGAGTGAATTCTTAAATTCCCCAAAACTACTTTTCTGCCAAAACATGTGGAGCTGCAGCATTCAACATTTTATTTGGAGTGTTATCTTCAAGCGAAGAATGACTCCACTGGAAAAAATTATTTGGTATCAGCTGCAGACCTATTTTTAGCTCCTTGTTTGGTGAAACTTCAGAAAACATAATTAGCCACATGTTGAGAAATGTTAGCCAAGTCTTGAATTCAATTTTTGCAAACCACATTTAAGCACTACCTTGTCCACAACTTTACACTGTTGGAATCAAAAGACATGTTTTTGTATGAGAATGTGATTCTTCATACTTCTTTGGGTAAATATTTGTGTTTGTGAAAGTTATAGAACTGGCAGTACTCAAGACTGAAATCTTCCATTTGTTTATATGGGAAAGCCTGAACAGGCAACAGTACTGGAACCATCCTCTGTGTCATGATAAACCTTGCAATGGGGTAACTGCTTTCTAGGAGAAAGAAAAGTAGAACAGGTCAGAAATGCTTTTTCTCCCACAAATATATTTGTAGTCAAAACAGAACTAGACTATTTTAATCAAAGACATACAAAGAAAATGTTAACTTTTTAGTTAGTATTTAATCAAAAGTCAAGAATGTCTACATGAAAACCAGAGTTTTTTTTCCCCAAGGAAATCTACATAAATTGTCCAGTTTCAAATGGATTAAAACAAATTGAACGATTAACTCATATCTGGCTAAGCCTTCACAGAAAACTGTAGTAAGGTGTCTAATGATATTGTTACACCTTCTGAACCAGAATGCCTGTTTTGGCTGCATTTCCTATAATACAATACATTTACAGTTTCCCCTCAGAGAGTTTTTCTGCTACATGATGAGAAGTTAAACTTTTGCAGCCCCGGAAAGACATTTTAGACTATTTGAATCAAATAAATGTCTCCTTTGTCCTTCAATTCATCAATGAAAGAAAAAGTGCTCTGTCTGCTCTAGGATTAAGACCAGGTTTGATTTTTCTAGCAGATGGAGAAGTCTTCTTTCATTCAGCTCTGATTACATGTGGTTCCTGTTCCACTTTCTTACTCTTTCATAAAGCTGCCATAAAGAAGAAGGAAGAGACTTCTTACAACATCATAGGGCATGTTGGATGGAGCAGCAATATACAATGGCTAGAAAAAAGGGAAGATGGAATGTTTGGAGATGTTACACATCCCTGGCTGGCCTAACACCCAGTGAAAGTAGGGCTTCTGCAGCCTCTGTGCTCTCTAGCTCAGCTGTACTGAGAATAAAGTCTAGGTAACTGGAAGTTGAGCATCTTGGCTAAAATCATTTAAAAATCAGTCCCTTAATTCCTCTGTTTCCATTTACTAGTGTTAACTGCAGGCTGTTGTCTGTCATTTCAGTCTCATTTTCATTGACTTGTTTGGCTTGCTTTTGTTCAGTTGACCTTATTGCCACTTGATAGAAATTTATGCAAACATTTGAATTGCTGCTTATCAGTTTCTAGAAAAGTTAAATATGAAAAATAACTAGTAAAACCACGTACTGACAGGATAGAGAATTCCACATATACGTAACCTTCATTTTTATTTGACTTTGGATTAATACCATACTGTAACGAGTTATGACAGTGGTATTGCCCTTCAGAATTCACAATCTTAAGAAGGGGAGATATGAAGAGACTTTGGTGGCTTTGAGAGACATCTGAAGTAAGGGTAGTTCGTTAAACTGGATCACAAAATAACTACAAATTGTTGCATATCTCATGGCTTAATATAGAGTGAATAATAGCACCCTATTTGATGCAATACAGTAGGATACAAGGATTTAAACATCCATAATAACAAAAAAAGGAATTTAAGAAAGAAAAAGGATAGATATGATCACATTTCATCAAGTACTAACTTCAGCTAAGTTGCTCTACAAAGCTTTCGAAGCACAAAAGACATGAGTGATAAATACTTATTTAACTGAGCTTTTTCCTTAAAAATGATTGAGGTTTTTTTCTATAGTTACAGAAATTGGAAACTTATTTAACTAAAATTTTTTGGTTGAGTGTTAGTAGATCTAAGACAGAGGGTTTATATTTTTGGTTGGGTAGGGATTAGTTCTTTCAGATAATCTATTTCTCAGTAGATAAAAGCTTTTCTTGATTTTACAGATAATTTTAAGAACAGATGAAGCCACTAGTTTAGATGGAAATAAATAAAAATACTGAAACTTACTGTGCAGCAAAACAGGAATTTGCAATATCTCTTTTATAGCTAAGAAATGTTTTTTTTTTTTCCAAAAGCATGCAGTAATTTGCGTGATAGTGTGCTGTTATAGTTTAGTGTATGGCTGTTATGCTATAGTATGTTGCATAGAATCACAGAATGACAGAATGGTTGAGATCGGAAGGGATCCCTCAAGATCAGCTAGTCCAACCTTCTTGCTTAAGCAGGGCCCACCTAGATTACCTCTTCTAAAATGCTACTAAATGCTTAAAAACTATTCTCTCAACTCTCCATGAAGTTTAAATTTCATATTATTTTGATACTCACAAAGCATTCTGATTCTCATTACCTGTGAATATGAAAATTTTCTTCCTTTATTTAAATACTTGACATTTTTTATTGACTTAATTTGTTCTGATTAACTTACTCCACAAGTCTTCATTGGTAAGCAGATATTTTGAGTTCAGAATAGGTGCTTACAGAGCATAAGTAATTATCAGTCTGGAGAAAAGTGAATCGGCACTGAATTTCATATTTTTTTCCCCTGGTATACAGAGGTATAGCTTGCTAAAGAATATTTGCATGCTTCTGCTTAGAAATAGCATTGATTTGAAAATTTGGAGAGATAGATAATGCCTCCCTCAAAAAACATATACTGCTGAAGTTGCACATTTAAGGTTATGTTTTCCTGTATTTGGTACTATTAATATCCATGAATAATGGCTTCCCATGTTGTAATCTAATTATGATTTGAAAAAATTAGTGTACTGAACTAGTGTCATAGGATTCAGGAAGAATTAAATAGAAGAAGGGTAAAGGTGAATTATAAGGGGCATGGGAGCCTAACTAGGAATAACAAGATAATGGAATTAAATTAAAAAAAAAAAATCACTGAATGCCCGTGTCATCTTCACAGCGAGTTCTGTTAAGTAGGGAAATTTGAAGTAGCTTTAATACATGGGATATTTAAAATCAAGCAGCTCAAACATGAAAAAATCTTCTGTATGGAACCTCTTTTTACCTGATAAAGAGGTGGCCTGGTGACCGAGTAACTCCTTTCCACTGCTAGTGTCTATAAGTCTGTTTGAATGAACACTTGCAATTCAGCACATCTCTCTCACTTGGATTTCTTTTGTATCTAGTAACAGGAGATTATCCTGTGCTTTACAATAAATAGCTTCGTTTTCAATCTTTCTTATTGGGCAGAGTTATATTTGAGGAAATTTAAAGCCAAATTATTCCTCTCTGTTTATTTGTGAGAGTGAGAAGGATGGGGATCAGGAAACCACCTGTCCTGTGGATGGGAAAAGAAAAAAACTTCTTCAGTTGGTCAACTGCATGGGGGATTTCAAATGGTGGGAAGTGATTTTTTGACATTTTAAAACTCTAACTATTTGCATTCTTGTGTCTTTTACAGACCATTTGAAAGGAGAGATAACCCAGCGGCACATTCAAAAGGCAGCTTTAGGTAAGAACATTTCAGATACAATAGGAACAATGGGATATCACCCAGGGCTTTACTTTGTTCACTGGGTAGGTTATTTCTCTGCAAAGGTTTATGATACAATATTTCTACATTAGTCAACACCATAAGCTCTTGAACTCTGTGAACTTTGCCAGAAATTTGGTTCAAAAAACATCTGATTTTATATGTTGAGAGAAATTATGCAAAAGCTGTATAGTTTCTTCTAAAAATGTAAAAGCTTTTCTTTCATGGTGACCAAAACAGGAAAAGAAAGATCTAAGCTCTCCAAGTTTTAGACTGTCGTGCTTTTGGTGATTCTAATTTGAATTTCCATTAACTGTACATTGATTTGTCCTGAGATGGGCTAACTGGCTTCCAGTTAGCCTATGCTGCCACAGTCAACATCCTTCCAAGTATTCCTCATTCCAAGAAGGGCTGAGGGAGTATACAGGTCATTTCTTTTAGATCTGGCTATAGAAGATGTAAAAAAGCTATTTTTAAACTTGTGTTTCTCCTGAAAGTCATGAAAATAATTTACTGCTGAGTAAGTTTCCCCCTTTTTTTTTTAAGCCATGTGCATCTCAAGCTGTATTGATGATGTTAGTGCTTTATAGCCTTGTTCTTCTTTATTTGAAAATCAGCACTGAAAATTAATACTATCCATGTCAGTAAATCCTGAGTCAAGCTCCTTTTGTTTTGATCAATATCATCTAAAGGGAAATCTACAGGTGGTACCTTCAGTGTCGTATTCGTGGAAAGAGGAAAGGAAAGAGGAGTGCCTCTTTCCTTAAGGCGCTCCAGGTTAAAATATATGTTGATTGTAGGTCACATTATGAAGTTGCACTGATAACAATGTGGCTTATGAAAATTTCTTATTCAGCGTTTAAAAAAAAATAAAGAAATGGTGTACTCTTTGTGTTTCAGTCTTCGTGATAACAGCTAGGCCCGCTGTTATCAGTATACTGATTTTTATTATACATAGAAAATTGTTTTTTTTTCAATAATTATCAAAGCTGCTTTTCATAAAATAGGTACACATCTTTTTTTTTTTTCCCATGTCCTGAGGTAATGACATAGTAGTGGTTTTACCAGCTATACATTCACAGTGTAAATATTCAATTAGTATTCTACACCATAGCAGGCAACTCATCTGTTTTGACTTGTACATTGAGTATTGCTATCTGCTTATCATCACCAACTCTGGACCACACAAAATATTTTCCAGTCTTTTCCCCCCTTCATTATCCATTCTTCAAACAGTCTCAGTATTTTGACTTAATGTTTATTTTGTGAGTTGGGGAATAGTATTATATGCCTGCCTGCCTATTTAGATGAAAGTTCTTCCAAGGAATAACAGGTGTCAAGTCTCCCAGGATCTTTCTTGATGACCAGAATGTCATCAAGATAATCTTAAATGAAAACTACATGGTAAAAAGGATAATTAAGAGTCTGCTGAAATCCTAACATGAAATAAAACACACCATTGTTTCAATTAGAAACCAAGTTAACATCTTCCAGCTGCCATTTTATTTCTTAACTTAAAACATTTTTATGGTTGAAACTCTTTAGGAAGCTATTTTAGTTGGATTTTGAACAGTGATGATCTATTTCCCTCATGGCTATGCTTAAGATGTGGATTTCTCATTGAAGGAAAACTCCACTGCTTATCCCATTGTTCTTTCCTATCTCTTTTAAAGCACATATGCTGGGAGTTAAAAAGAGGACACAAATAGACAGGAGGTTTCACTGAGGGCAGGGGGATGTTCCATGACTTTCAGTATAGACTAGAAGCACTGAATATTTAATGTAAAATTCCCTGGGCTCATCTCAGTGTCACTTACATCTCTTTTGATAAAAAAAAAACACCTTTATTATGTGCATAACTTCATTTTTTTCAGTAAAATCAGATTAAGATAAGCTGTGAAGTGACATGAAATGGCAACACTGAACCCAAAGTTGCCTTTTTTTTCTTTCTCTCTTCTCATGGTCTTTCTGCCTTTCTTTATTTTCCTTTCCACCTTCTTTGTGGATATTCTTTTTAAATTTTCCCAATACCTCCTGCCTTCGTGTTTTTCCATTCTTGAATTTCTCATCTTTTCTACTTTTTTCTCAAGTTTTTCTTTCCCCAACATCATTTATTTCTGCATTTCCCACCTTGAACTGTCTGTGTGATTCTTTCCTCAGTCTATTCACTTGTTTTTGCAGAGCATTGAAATACGGACAGAGCAAAAACCTTAGGTCACCAGGATAATTCTGGAACGAAAGGGTTGGCAGGATGGAAAGAAAAGCTTTCCTTTGGGCTTTAGTATTGTAGAAGGAAGATGTGTATTTTGTATGATTCCAAGGGAGCATTATTCAGGATGCTTTAAGATGCATTAAGTTTAAGATGCTTTAAGTTAGGATTTCAGTAGAATATCAGAACTGTTTCTTCTTTATTATCTTATTTTGGGTTTGCACTGAGTGAACATCATTGCAAGCAGACAATCAAACTAGCATGACATTGAGGGAAGACTGAATCCAAAGGTGGAGCCTCATGCTGACCTAAGAAAATCCTGTGACAATACTTGAGAAAACACTCCTGCGGGGATGCACTCATGCTGGCAAATGCATGTTTTGTAAAATAACTTCCCACAACAGCAGTAACCATACTGAGAATGGAACTGTTTTGCCTATTTGATTACTTCTCAAGTAGAGGCCTTTATTAGGTCATCTCTGGAAGTTAGGAAGGACCCTTGAACATAACCCTGACTAATGTGCCCATATCAACAGGAATGTTCAGCAAATCTGCCAGGAGTTCTACAGGCTGTTCTGTCTGCTTCAAACAGGCCATGACAAAGCTTCATACACAGAAAGTTCTTTATGTGCATTTTGAACTGTGTTTTCTGAATTAAGGTCAATGGTAGTCTGAATTCGGTGAATCAGCATTTTCAACTCCAGACATAATTGCAGTTATTTTCTCAGCTAAGTCGAAATGCAGTTTTGAAGCTTTCCATCTGAGATATTTTTCCTATTTGTTCACTGCCTTCCTTCTGGTTTTACATATGTTTTGAAACTTGGCCTACCAACAGCCTACTTCTTTTAGGATTCTCCTGAAAACATCTGGAAATGACAGCACCTTTCAGTGAATGCAAAGAAAAAGAGAACCTGCTTCTAGAAAGGTTTCTTAGGGTCAAATTCATCTAAAATCACTTCTGTTTTCCTTGCAGTTCCACTCTTCTCAGTAGAGCTATTTATAAAATAGCTGTTTTCCAATTTCAGCATCAAGGTCTTGTTTTATCAATATTTTTAATTAAAAACTCTGTTTTCCTAGAACTTAGAATTCAGTTTTTAAAAATATTTTATATTTGTGCTGTTATTCAAAGCACAAATTTATGTTTATGTTGTTCCCAAACTTTTTTTTCTTTTCCTTGAGTAAAATTCCTTTGAAAAAGCCTCTCCCTCATGAAATAGAAAATGACTAGGTGAGTCATAAACACCAGCTACATTTGGATCCTAGAAAAGGCTTCTCAGCATTTAGCTTAAAGAATGCCTGAGACCAAAGATTTTGACTTCTGATGATTTTGCATTTGTATTTGTATCACACTTTAGTTTTAAGCATGGAGAGAACTTTCTCCACATAGTTCTTCCCTTTATAGCCTCATTTGTGTCATCTTTTCCTATATTGCATAATTGCATATCTGTTTTAAAGAAATTTCTGTCAGTTATGACCTTATTCCTGTCTATGTTCCCATTCCTTTTTTACATTCCTATGCACTTCGTTTGCTTCACTCTGCTTCTTCATCTTTCTTTGGTGGGAAGAACAGTACTATCAGACCCTCAATAAAGCCAGGATATACAGTGCTACGTAATTGACTGGGGTACTACCATAGAAATAATCCTGACAGTGTAGGGGAACAGTTTCAGAGAAAATATTGCTCCAATGCAATTGTTTGTGGTGCTCTGAGAAGCTGAGAAGCTACCATGTTGGATGGTGGGAGGGATGTGTTTTCTGACACAACTGTGCCAGTGTATACAGCTAGACTTGGGAACTACTGCTCCCACTTCTCCAAGGTAAATATAGCCCATGCCACTAGGAGGGCTGGACCACCTTGATTTGTGCTTGAAGATTGCTTAAGAAATACATGAAAGTTTTCAGTGCAACCCTACCAGCATTTGATAGATATATACACTATTGACTAGGCTAATAGTTAATAACTATGTCTTCTAGTTCATCTCCTGTGATCTGTGTGAATGGAAAGCACACAGCATTTCCAAACTGTTGGTTTGCATTATACTTAATCTCCTATTTAAATAAATCCATATTTAAATAAAATGAGCTCAGTTTCTTTCATTGCTTTGCTTCTTGTAACTGAGAAACCATTTAACTTTGTTCATGGATTCTTGATCTATATTAATGCCTTCAAATGAGGAAACACAAATGTTTTCAATCACAAAATGACAGAAGCTGAGAAAAGTGGCAGTCTGTGTTTTCCCACAAAAACCCAAAGCAGTCCACAGAGAATAATAGCTTTAATCAAAAATAAATTAGAAAAAAAGTGATTTAAGGCTATCATTCCTGGCACTAAGAATTTATTAGATGTAGGCTAAATAAAGACCTTTAGAGAAATAATCAGTTCTGCCTGAAGTGCAGAATTTTGTTTTGTTTTTGCTTTTGCTCTTCTTTTTCTTTGTGGCAAGAGAAAAATATCTTCTCAGGGCTAATAGGTATCCAAAGGCACTTTCTCTGTAACAGTGTGGGTTGGTTCATGCATTTACATATCCCTGAGTTTTCTGTTTGTAAAATACACTGCTTTCTGCAACACTGAGGAGTGAACGCAGTTAATATGGGCTGCTTCAGGAATAAGATAAAAATTTCTCTTAGAAATGAACATTTTTAATATGCACAATGATTCAGTATGATCATTTTTTCTGGTTATTTCTGCTCGGAATCGCAAGCGATACCTCTGTAAGCAGCATACAGGGCACTGATTTTATTCCTCGAGTGTCCTCTAGTGGTATCAAGG